ACACACAGGATATGCTTCTTATGCTGAGGCTCTGTTTGTACATCCATGTATGCAGTATATAGATTTCTCTGCGTGTGCATTCCTGTTTACTAAAGATGAGTAGGGCCATCGTGCTACTTGGAAAAATGTGTTAGGCTTTGGCAGAATCCTCACAGACATCTGGTACATGGAGCCACCAGCAGTAGAAATGTTGGTGCAGATGAGTTGGAGGCCTGGACGTGCTGCGAAGAAAGCCCACGGGCCACAGTTGGCTTCTGTCTGACCGTTCAGAGGCCTCAGTTGTGGTGTGGAGCCAGCCATATCATAATCCCTTGGTATGCCATATGGCGCATGCATAAGTATACCCAGTACGATCCAGACTGCACCACACTGGTCTCTTACCTATTTCTACTGTAAAGTAGTACGTTCAAAGTCCTCTGTGGTACTGCACCACCCGTAAAGTGGTGCTTTTTTGTTGCTCTCCAACGGTTCATATCTGTGGAGTGCTGTCTTCTCTTGCCACTAGCTAGTAGAGTCTTTCCTCAAAGAAAGATTTGGCAGCAAAACCTAAATTGCTTCTGGTTATCTAACTAGATTCCTGGTAATGTAGAACTTACTTGACCAGTTTGTCCATGAAAAATGTTCTGTAGCCTCCATTGTTGGGACCATTTTCCTTCCATTGGGAAGACTGAACAGTGCCCTAATTGATGGTTTGAATCATGTTTTTATTACTGTGAGACAAGCTTATTTTAATCTGGATTTTGAGCAGTTCTAATTTACATTGCCAAGTTCTGCTCGTGTCACATGCAATAACATACACCCAAGTAATACACACACCTTGAATGGAATATTTTTCCTCCTCCAGGCTGCATTAAACATCTTAAAATTGCTGTCTGAGTTGGACCAACAAAGTACAGAGATGCCAAGAACAGGAAATGGACCAATGTCTGTGTAAGTAAACATGATGAATCCTTGCTAACATTTCCCCTTTTTTAGTTTCAGTAAGCAAAAAACAGCCCCAGCTTTGAAATACTCATAAGAGAATGTCACAGATACTGTTTCTCTGTTTAGATAAGTATGTTTATTTAAATTAGAGATAGGGAAATTTGTCACCATCCAGATGTTTTCGCCTACAACCACCAGCGTTCCTAACCATCAATGATTAAAAAGGCCATGGTTCATAAGAGTTGTGAACGCCAGATGTTCTGATTTACAAGTTCCTACCCCCAGTAAAAAGAGTTGGAAAAACAAGCTTTATTACCTTTGTATGGATGGGAAAGCAAGTTTATGCCCAGGATCATGACTATTATTTTGGCTTTACAACATTTCTTTGAGGTTTGGAATATATTACCATAAACAGAACATCATTTAACCATCCCATTCTCTGGAAGTGCTTTCTTGTGTTGCTTTAAATGAGCAAGTGTCTTTTGCCAGAAATGGTTTAATTGTATTGCTGGCAGAGCACTTAAAACAAATGGATAAATACAGTAGTGGAAGTTCATTATGTCAAAGGAACAGTTCTTGACAAGAATTTGGAAGAACCACAAGTCTTTCTGAGTAATCCATACTCCAAAGCATGGCTCTGTTCTGAGAAACCTTTTTTCAATTTTTCCTAGATGCATGAAGCAAGAAATGGAAAACGACCCTCTCCTCAAACCGGCTAGCTCAAACACTTTGGGACAAACACTGGACACCACTGCCTGAAAAGGCTTGACTGGACCCAAACCTGAAAGCACCAGAGAAAATCAAATGCTTCCTAATTAATGTAACCTAACTGTTTTAGAGTGCTACAGTTGTTACAACCCACTGTAGTGTCTAAATCATAACCGTTGCTTTTCAAACAGTGATAAAATTTTTAGTTTCATTGCATTGTTTTGAATGACACTATAAATTTTTCATTAAAAAAAGTTTCTTAATTGTACCTAGAACTAAAGCACAGTTTAGAAACTTTGTTGTCTGACACACTTACTTATGAACTAACTTGGGAAGATCATATCCATGTATGTGTTCAGTCTTTTGTTTTTAATGAAATTGTAAGATAATTTCACTGGAAACAAACTGTGTGCCTACCATATGATTTAAAAAAAAGTCAGGCAAGCCTAGCCTAATTTATCAAACGGTTGAATAAAATGTAATTATACATTTTAGGAATTTTAAACTTTATTTGATCACTTTGATTTCTAGAATATTTTTGAGGGGTGGGGAGGAGGGAGGGAAACCTGGATGCAACAGAAGTTTAAATGGTCGCTAATCTTTGTTTTAAAAAAAATTGTGTGTGTGTCTGTATATAAAGGCACACAAACCAAGTACAGTACAGGATATGATCTCAATGTAGTGCATATAAAACTGCAGATTGATTTTCCTTGAGTGCTTTATACAGTTTAATTACATCTCCATGTAGGGCTGAAAAAAATTACCTATGTTTATATATAAACTGTGTTGCTTTTGATGTTGTGTTTATTGCACACAGTGATGGGTGCAATAAAGTTTTTGCATATGGTCCAGGTAAAGCACGATAGCCTTGCAAGTTAAGTACTGCTTCAGTTCATTGTTTACGCTGGAATTTTTTCTCCCCATGGAATGTAAGTAAAACGTAGTGTTTGTCCAATAAATGGTAAATACTAAAAAAGAAAAGTGGTGGGTTTTATTATTAAATGGCAATTCCTTAGAAGAATTTTTTAAAACAAATTTGTGTGATATTGTTGGCAAATTGAAAGCTAGTAAATGGGATCATGCAGTTTATATTAAAATCTCACTGCTAGACAAACTGTCAGAAAAATTAGTATTTTTTACATAAAACATTTATATGCAATTTCCCATACCTACGTTATTTCATAAATTCTTCAAGCAGTCCTTTAAGTTAGACCAAGACTAGTCTCATACATTGAACTGGAAAGTAGAAGCAGAGAAATGGTTGCTTAAGGTAGCCCACATCTTACCCTCTGCACTAGCACATTCATGTGCTTCCTCACTCTGCCCTCTTATCCTTTTGACTTCAGAGCTTGCAAGATGTCTGCATGAAGCTGGTCCAGCATGAATGTGAATGAGTGAATTGTCACTGAATTCTTGTAACTTTGGATCCAAGGGCTTTGTTTCCTTAACTTTTAAAAAGTAGCCTTAATTTAATACAAAAAAGCTAACTTTGAGTTCTGCTTCTGAATTCCAAGGCATTTTGTGTATTGAATAAACACTTAGCCTTATTTTTTCCTATAACAATAGTAACTTTATCAGCAAGAGGCACATGGTACATGATCTCACATAAGCTATTTTAAATAGCATTCAGATGGTATCTTTAAATAGAATCCACTGCATGATTTTTCACTTTAACAGGACCCACCAAGGTCCATTGAAATAAAATGAAGCCATAGCACCTGCTGGATTGAATCTTCTCAAGGCTATTCCAGAATGATTGTTTCACAAACTAGTTGTCATACATATCATTTTCCAGAGTGTTAACGGTCTGCTTGGCAAAAGGAGATGTTCACATTATTTTAAATAAACTGCTAATAATGCTCAAAAGCATTAATTGTGCTGTCTTGCAAACAGTCCTCCTTTCTCCAGCAAACACTGCTGCTTATGCATGTGTGTTCAGACATATGCATTGCTATGAACATGGGTGACTTGAGAGTGGGGGAAGAAGTGGGGTGGGAGGCAGTGGAAATGCAAGCTGAGAGAAGAATAGCCTTATTGTTTTCGCCTAGTGAGACGTATATTCTGTTTAACTAGTTTGCCTCCATGGAGGCCATCATTTCTAGCCTCAACCTTTAGAACAGATGATGGAGGGCACAAAGGGGATAGTCAGCCTTGGCATTCCTAGTTCCACTGAAGGCAACAAGCAGTGGTGTTGGAAGCATGTTGCTGGATTTCATCCCTGTGTAATGCATTTTGCTTGCACAATCTATAAAGGTCAGCCTTTTTCAACCTAGTGCCCTCCAGATGTTTTCGATCAACTGCCTTAAGTCCCAGTCAACATGACCAATGGCCAGTAATACTGAGTCGTCATCCAAAACATCTGGAGGACACCGCATGGTTGAAGACTACTACTTGTGCTCTTTTGCAAAAGGAAGGGCAGCTCCCTGCCAGTTATGCATTCACCAGGGAAGGAATGAGGGCAGGTTTGTCTCCATGTGCTGCGATGTTCCTCTTGCAAAGTACGAGGTGAAACATCCCAGTGACCCTTGACCAATGGATGAGGCCAGAGTCTGCAACAACTTCCCTATACAAGGGGATTGATTTCCTCTTAATTGCCTGTCCTGAAGGAAGCAGCATTGGATCATAGGTTGAGATCTGCATTGTAATAGCTTTGAAGAAGAGATAGACAAGATAGAATATGCATAACGACTTGATTTTCACAGGCTTGTTTCCTTGATCTATTACGATAAACTCCAATGAAAATGTTCCTTCTGACTTGCTAGAAATGTAGGAAATATGTGCAGTTTGCTTTACAAGTTCACATTTTCCCCTATTAAATTTGTCTTCCTAAAATAATGGGCTATATTTCTACTCATTTCCATTCTGCCAGTTAGAGTGAACAGCTGGAAAATAATTGATAACGAAGCGTTATCAGGGGCATTAATACAAAACATGATAATGCATACATCTGATCTATTATTCTAGGCTTCCTCCAAGGCTGGTATCATTAACTCAATTATCTCCGTGACAGGAAGCTAAATTTCTCTTTATTTGGGGCATAGAGCAGGAAATGATGATATTTATCAAGCCAGCTTTCTGGGAAGAATTTCTGGTATATAACTGAAGATACAATGAAATACTCAAGTGCCCTCAGATAAAGATTTACATTTATCTATGCGTACTCATATTTCTATGTGTACTCATAGAAATATGAGTACACATTTCTACTCATAGTGTAATTTTGTGAAACTACTGCAGATTCTATTTGAACTGTCTATGTGTACAAATGTTGAAAGAAGCTGCCAATCATACTGCTTGACAGCCAAAAACAAAAATGTTCACAAAGAGAGCCCATGCACATCTCACCTGTTCAAATCAGAGTGTTCCAATTAATTTTGCATGTTGAGTGCTGCAGACTTGGTTGTATCTGTTGAAATAAACATTTTGCTCCAGACATTTCTGTAGAAAGATAATATTTTCATCTTTTTGCTGCTAAACTTTGCTGCTTTTTGTGGAAGACACGTGTCCAGTCCCAAGAATTTTTGAATGAGGACTTGAACATCCCAAGGAAGGAGGCTGAAAAAGCAGGAGAAAGCAAAAACAGCAGATTGATTAAAAGTAAACTGCTTGCCAGAATCTTAGGAAGAGAGGAGTTGAAAGTCCTTAGGCATGAAGCACGAATAATTTGTGTCTCACCCCTGTTATGCATTACCCTTCTGTGGCCTGGATGGCTTATAGCACTGCTGGCAACAGGGACATGGTCAAGCAGCTGTAGCTAGAAGTTTGGCAGTAGGGTCAGCAAAGGTGATGACAGTGGCGGCGTATTTTTTCAGTACTTCTATTCAGTTAAACTACAATTGCTACTACAGCCCAGTTTTTCTGCCCACAGACTATATGAAAGTGAAGCAAAATATGTTGGTCCACATTTTCTTCCACTGTTACTTTGTAGTGAAACTGCACTGCTCTTTCAATTATTAAATGCATATTAGCAAGAAATCACTGGAAAGAAAACAAGTTTGCCTGTCAGTGTTCACATCTGCACAGGACTGAAACTCAGCTTGTAGCCTTAACTTTGCCATAGGCTGTCACTGATGTGGTATTGTATTTTTCCCATGAAGGCCTGACCTTGGCAGCTACTCTTCTCCCAACACAAATTGTGTCCTGAGGAGATCTCACTGCACAGGCAACAGTTAACATGTCATTTGCGGAAAGGCAACTTACTTTTTTAAAATGGCTGCAAAGTATATCACTCTGGGGACACAGATCATGTGTTGATTGTGCAGTATACCTTGCATTGCTTCTTCCACAAAATGGCCTAGCCGTAATGGAAAAAGTAAGGTTTCCAGCTCTTGCCTGAAAGAAAATTTGTGACATTCAGATAGGTCCTATGTGCAAACAAGGGTGAGCTGTCCAAGAGTCCCTTGGCAGTCTTAAGTGTTACATCCTTTTATGAAAGCAAAGCTGAAATTCTCACAATTTTACACCCACTACATCAGATGCATCATAAGCTTTGTATGCAGAAGTTCCCATGTTCAAATTCCTAATATAGCCAGACAAAAGTCTAGTAGCAAATGTTAGATATGGCCTCTACTAGCGATCTTGGAGAATCATTACAAGCCAAAGTGGAAATTCACACTAGGCTAAATGAACCAGTGGTGGGAAACCAGAGGAGCACTGCTATCAGCTGCCCACTGGAATCTTTTTTGCAATTGTGAGATCTAGATCTTTGTTGAAGCCACAAAGCCATGGGTCTTTAGAGCTGTTATCGCCTGATTTTCCTTCCTAACAGATGAACCACTAATGGGGATGCATCCAAGCCATGTGTAAGCAGAGCCTCACTCTTGTGATGGGGCTCCCTGCATACCCTCACATATGTGGCAACTGTGCTGTAGAGGGTCCCCCAACCCCCGGATGGGCCATCCATCTCACCAGGAGTTCTCTCTCGGAGGTGAATGGTCCCATAGGGTACAATCCCACTGTCTTCATTTCCAGTTTCCCAACTTAACACTTTGCTGCTCTAAAGACAGATTAGAAATGTGATGAACTGTAGAAACGCATAAATCTGTTGGACTAGAGAGCAGTTGTAAAAAGTCTAAGCTGTAGATCTCCCGATTCTGTTCTGTACAAGGAGAGCTTAAGAATTCATGTAACTAGAAGAATGCTGCCATAAATTTTGTGAACAACTTCTTTCCCATGGAATGTTAGTCAATATTCAATAGAAGTCCTTGTATCCCTTTCCTTTGTTTTTCCTCTCTGACAGAATTTAAACTGCAAACTCCTTGGGACAGGAGCCATTTTTGCTTGTGTAAATCACATTTATTTATATACTGTCCATAAGCCAGAACTGTTAAAGCATCATATCTTGAGGAAAAAATATAATATAAAATGCATTATATAAATAAAGATTGTATGGATTTACTTTATATTATTATTAGCCTGCCTATTCCCAGTGATTGGCTGAATATAAATACATTTTTCAGTGTACTTTTCATCATTCTTCCCACCCTGCTCCAGCTAACTGGGTACAATGACTACACTGCTGAGGAAAAAAACTGTAGATGTGCATACATATTGATACCAATGTGCATACATATTGATACCGTTTCCATAGAACAACTAGCCATGGGTTATTTAAGCCATGCCTAATCAGGAGCAACCATGCTGCCTTCTTCCTAGCTGCTTAACTGCTTTCCCTCAGGTCAACAATGTAAGGTTCCTAGTCTGCCCTGGGACATCCAGACCCAGCATTCTGGATTACTTAGCATGGAACAGCCCATTTTTAACACAAGGCTTGTTGCTGAAATCAGTCAAGTTAGAGTAATCGGGGGCAGCCAATGTTAGTTGTTACCTGATTCTGCAGCCATGAAACATGCCCGCATCAATGAAATAAGGACACACAAGAGTAGTTTTCACACCACTGATTCTTTTGGCTTTCAGCTGATGGCTAAGAGCTTCATGGAATCCAACTACAGCAAACTTGCTGGCACAGTAATCCTGAGGAAACAAGAAGCACATGGCCATTACAAGTGCTGTCTTCCTGCTTTAACCAGGATCTGCACGTAAATGTTTTCTTGAATCTCTCACCTTCATGAATTCGCTTCTTCCCAAAAGCTGTCACACAAAAACAAGTCTTACAAACAACATGGAAGGTGGATTTTGTCTCTTGAACTTTATACCAATTCAGTACTTGACTGAAAGCTGCCCATGATCTGTGCTGAGCTCTACTTTTGTTGGTTAACTAACAATTTTTATTGGCTATATTATGGTATCCCATCCCTGATGTTTTGGACATCTGATTTCCATCAGTTCCAGCCAGTATGGCCAACAGTTAAGAATCCTGGAAATTGTAGTCCAAAACAACTGAAGTGGCAGCTGGAAGATCACTCCAACCTAATGCTAGGATGCTTCTCTTGGGCCTCACCCTCACCAGTGGGGAAAGCATGCCCCAGCTGAGTCCCCAGCCATGTGTCTCCTCTGTGGAGGCAATGGATGATGCATAAACTGACTTGGACAATGCTGGAAGGAGCTCCTGTTCTGGCATCAACCCAGCCAAGCATCCTGCCATCTGCATTTCTCCCGAAGGGTGATTCACTGACCTCCAGACAGCCTGTTGCAAAAAGCCCAAATGATCCCGCAACTGTCACAATGTGCCCATGATCTCTCCCGATCATGTGTGGAAGGAAAGCCTTGACAGTCTGTAAATAATACAAAAGAAATATGCATGCCTATTACTCATGCTCATCTTCCATGTATTGACCTACAAACAGAAAATAACTGATGCAGTACTTCAGTGCTTGCTTTGTAAGCGTTCTAGCAGGTCTTTCTGGACCTTGCATTTGTCCTGCCACTTTCATGGTATCTTTATAGATGACACCATTTTCTTCTAACCCATCTTCCATGTTTTCCAAATGCTTCTTTTGTCTGCCGTCTTTACGTACACACCCACAGGGAGAGAGAAAGATCTGGTAAGGAACAGATCTCCATGTTGTGTCTTTTGGACGGTAGCAGTACAGCCCTCCATCTGAAAGCAAGCTAAGTTTTATTGTTACTAGATACACGGGTATGTTACCCCCTCAGCGCAAACTACCCTGCTGCTTGAAGTCAAAGAATCCTTGCTGCAGCCTCATGCCCCTTCTTTACCTCCCTGCACTGCCACCCTGTCCCTCCCTCCCCACCCCTTCCTTTTGCCGATGCCACTGCGCCAGCACCCCGAAGAATGATGTAGCCGGACAAAACAGGCTCCCAACTCGCATACGAGCTCGCCTGAGTTCTCACTAGCCCTGCCCTTGCTCTCCTTAAAGCTTGCAGGCTCTACTGCACAGCTGGAAGAAGTGGCTGGCTGAGCTCTTGCAAGCCTGTGGTGGCTTCTACGGGCTGTAGGGCGATGGAAGGAGAAGCAGGAGGAGGCAGGCAGCTCCTCTGGAGAGCCATGTTGGCTGCTCTCTTGCTGCTGTAAATGCCACAGCCTGGCAGGGCTTTCAAGAACACGTGTAGGAGGCCCCACAGCAATGATGGCAGGTCTGCCTGGATGGGGCAGGACAGTTGGGGGAGCAGCAGAATTCCCCATTCCTCCATTTCCATCACCTGAAGGGGCACCTCACCCTGCTTCATGGGTGGGCTGGGTTTGCATGCTGACCTCGTCCCTTTGCATCCACTCTCATCCCTGCAAGAACTAGTTCTCTTATCTGGACTCTGAGACTGGAAGTGAGCCTGTCAGAGGGTTGAGCTGCAGGGAATGAGGTGGCCCTACAACTCCCTGCCCACACATGTATTTGGCCCAGACATACAGTCTAAGTTTAATCCAGACAAGAAGGAGGTGCTCCTGGGCAGCTGAAAGCCGAGCAGGGAAGAGATATTCAGTCTAAGCTGGATCGGGTTACCCATCTCCTCCGAAGACTCAGCCTTGCAGTCTGTGTCCTTTGGACTCAGCCCTGAACCTCAATGATCAGGTTTTGGCCGTGGTCAGGAGTGCATTTCCACACCCAAGCTTAGTGCACCAATAGCGCCCATCCCTAGAAGTGTTGGATCTGGCCTTGGCTGCATCCCATTTGGACTACTCTGACACCTCCACAGGAGACTACCTTTGAAAGCTCCTCGGAATTTCAGTAGGTCCAAAATGCTGGGGCCAAACTACTAATTCTTTTGCTATGACTGCTTTGCAGGCTACCTGTATACAGTCAAAATTCAAAGACTGCTTTTGGGGCCAGGCTACCTGAAAGATCTGCATATGAGTCTGTCCAGGGCTTGAAATATTCAGAAGAGGCACTTCTTTAGAAACTGCCAGCTTCAGATACACATTGGTCTACTTCCTTTTTTCTGTCCTGCTGCATTATTCAGTTGGGTGCTGTTTTGATTCTGTTCTTGCTGAATCTGATTGTATTTTAATGCATTGTTTATGGTTTCAGACAAGGTTTATTATGACTGTAAGCCACGCTGAGTAAGCCACACTAATTTTCTTGACAGGCAGGTGGAATTCAGTTCAAATACATAAGACTGCAACATTTTGATGTTCACAGAACTCTTGGCCAGGTTGAAAGATTCTTTGAGACCTTACACAATGCTATCCTGTTGGATCAATAAAAACAATTCATTGAGAAAAACCTGCCAGTTTAAAAGTTACAAATACATAGAAACATAGAAACAGAGCAAGTCAGAAGGGGTCTCCTGGGCCATCTAGTCTGACCCCCGGCTCTAGCCGGCTCCCCTCACGAGATGCCTACCATGTGCATGTCTAGCCTGTCCTTGAACACCCTCACTGATGGGGCTTCAACCACCTCCTGTGGAAGCCCATTCCACACCCTCAGGGTCCTAACTGTCAGGAAGTGCTTCCTGGCATCTAAATGGAACCTTGGTTCCCTGAGTTTTGCTCCGTTGGAGCGCATCCTGGCCTCCTCTACAGGGGACAACAGGTCTCTACCCACCAGCATTAAAGTAAAGTTATCTCTTGCTGCCTCAAGATCCACAAAGCTAGAAATGTGGAAACTAATGCTGATGCCTTAACAGACATTCTCTGCAGCAGTGCAGTTGTTGTGTAATGTGAGAAATGGTTGATCACAGCTTACCCTCTATGCATCCAAGCTTTTTCTGGTCTTTCAGGTCCAAATCTGGGTAGAGTGCCTGGACCAGCAAAGAGGCCCCACTGGTCCTTGCTTTATGAAGCATCTAAGCCTTACTGTGCTTCTAGACAAACTCTTCTTTGACTTGACCCCCCACACCTGTTTGCTACTTGTAGTCTGTGAATTGTATCCCCTCCTGCACAGAAAATACTCCCCCAGAACCAAACTGTATGGTTCTTATATGCAATGGTGCACTTTTGCAGGAATTCTTTTCTTTTCTTTTTTCTTTTGTGGGGAACATGTAAACAGCCACTACAATCCATTCCGGAAGGCAGTGCCAATCCAGCTAATGCCCTTTGACCTGTAGGGTGCCACAAGAATCAATCTTCCTTGCTAGTCAACATCTATGTAAAGCTGATAGGAGAGATTATCTGGAGATTTGAGCTACAGTGCCCTCAATATACAGATGGCACCCAACTCTTTCATTTCTATCTTGCTGATAGTCACAGGTGTTCTGAACTTATGTTTCCAATGATTGAGAGAGTAAGCCAACTGAAACTTAATTCAGACAAGATAGAGGTATGATTGGTTGGGAGCTCTGGAAATAGTCGTTCAGCTGTTTTTGTAATAGAGCTTTAGTTAATACAGTGAGCTGCTCTGAATAACTCAGCTGCAATTCCTGGGTTGTTTAACCCAGGAATTGTGGGGACAAGTGGGGTATGTGAGCCACACCCTAATTGTTTTCACCATGGGAAATTAGTGGGTTCACTCTGAATTGTTCAATACAAACTCAGAGCTTCCAAGTTTCCACATCAGGGAACAACCCAGGAAACAACCCAGTTAATCAAACACAGGAACAGCTTGTGTCCTCCATGACGTGCAAACCAGGTCACTGAGCAGGTTTAAAGGGGGTTATCATCCATTTATTTTTTTGTATTTTACATTTCTATGCAGCCTAATAACCAAAGCTGTCTGGACAGAGTTTTGTTCTGTTCCTGCTGAGATAAGAAGGCTCATGCCTGCTTAAAGTTCCTTTGGAAAGGTTTGGCTTTAGTGATTCACATGACAATGATAAAGAGTGTAACAAGATTAGTTTTCATTTCAATCCTCTTAAAATTGTCCTCCATTTGATTGTCTTTTCATCTTTTCAGGGTCTGAAAAGTAGGATTAACAGCCAGGCCATGTTCTGCAAGACCTTGAATGATAAGCTGCTTTCCAGAATTAGTTGTCATAAAATCCCCCATTTGCATCAGAGGCGTGTGTGAGTGTCTAAATCTTTTGAAACAACTTAATTGGATAGTTCTAGAATGTGGTACTTCATAGAACTCCTTTATGCCTGCCCAAGCCTTGCAAATAACAGTGTTGAACTTTCTGGACAAAGAAAGGAACCCATTATTTCTTTTTTAAAAGGTTACTTTAAGCAAGGATGGGGGAAATATAAACGACTGTTACAACTGAGAAGAAAAAAATGCAGGAGAGGTAGCTTTAAAATGGATACCTCTTTAACGTAGGCTGCATGGAGCGATAATAAGGGGGGCCACTTATGATTTGCCCCTGTAGAGGAAATTAATTGCCAAAGAAGAGGGCCAAAGGCAAGATCCCACGAATAACTACTTGGGAATCTGCCACATGTACACTGGCACTCCCAAGTAAATGCCAGTTCGTTCCCGGGCTCAGCTTGAAGTGCTGGTCTTAGCCTTACAGCTCAAAACGGTCTGGGTCTCCAGGATTTCAAGCATCACTTCCTTTGCTGTAAAACTGCCTAAATATTGAGCTCTTCCTCTGCTGCTCTGCTGTGTCCCAGACTCTCAGAACATGGAGGGCAGGCATGAAGCCCTGTCGCTGTGGCACCAATCTGGGAACCCCTTTCTGAGGAAGCCCCCTGTGCTGCCATCCAGGTCTATTTTGGTCACGCAATCACAATTTTTTGTTTGATGGACACATTTGGTAGCTATTTGTTAAGATGGTACTGTCCTGCTACCATTTAAAATCGTGTTTGTTTGTTTGTTTGTTTGGCTGTTTTTAAGATCAGTCAAGGAACAACCTGATGCAAATTTAGGCCAGCATCCTATACAGATGTACCAAGGAGTAAGTCCCACTGGATTCAGTACCACTTACTTCTGAGTAGTCATGCATAGAATTGTACTTTAACCAGTTGTTTCCTCGATTTTATTATTTATTGTTTTGAATATTTCAATAGAAAATCTTGAATTAATATAATGAAGCCTGGGGAGAGCCCAAGGTATTTTATTATTTTATTTTATTTTATTTTATTTTATTTTATTTTATTTTATTTTATTTTGCTTTTATCTATATTGAACAACATAATATACATTGAATCTAAAAAGGAAAATACATTTGCACCATTGTGCCCCATGCCAGTTAATATGGACCAAATACTACAACTAAATTTTTCCTACCATAAATGCAATAGATTGGAAAGACATTCCCTAGTATACCCTGGAATGCTGAGCAAGATTTATAACGTCACTACTATATGCATCTTCCAAAGTGCAACAGCAGCTTTCCCTCCAAGGCATTTACACAACAGATGGAAATTTGGCACCCCAGGCCCGAGCACAGAAAACCTCTATGGCTTGGCTGTCTCTGCATGCAGAAGCTTGACCATCAGATCTTCACATTCCCAATGCACATGTTGATTAACCTGGAACCTTGAGTCATCGTTCCGTGGTACACCCAGAGTGACACTTACCCAAAAGTGAGCATGGCAATTGGTCTTCATGGTTCTTTCCAGCTGCTCATCGGGACACTCTAGGATGGGCTTCACAGCTGCAACACCAGCACTGTTGACCAGTATCGTAACATCACCCGCATCCTTTCTCACCAGTTCGGCAGCACTGTACACCGCTTCCCTCCGGCTCACATCACAGACATAAGTGTACGCCGTGGCTCCTAGGGCGCGAACTTCCTTTGCAGTGTTTTCATTGCCCTCTCTGTCTGTATCCCACAAGATGAGGGTAGCCCCCTGTCGGGCAAATGCCAGGGCAAAAAGCTTCCCGATACCAGTTGAGCTAGCCGTGCCTGTTACCAAGCAGACTTCATTCCTGACTCTTTTACCTGCAGGCTTCTTTACCCACTGAAGCACCGCAAGGACGATGTACCCAAAGACTCTTGCTGTGAGTTTAAGAAAGTCTACAAGCACACCCATCATGTCAAATCTCTGAGAGGAACGAAACAATCATTAAATATTTCGTAGTGCTAGTGTAACATAAGTCCATTAGACAAAGCAGTTCAGGCAGAAAGGGTATATTTATGAGGAAATTGAGATTTAAAAGATTATAGTGACCACTGCCAATAAGCTGGTGGAATTTGGACAGCAATGCAGCATTAGGCCAGTAATTCTCAAATTGTGACTTGGTATATCCTAGGGAGCTGGAGAAGAATTTCCTCTAATGTTTCACTTACCCTATGTTTATGTTGGTTTTCTTTGACTATATTGATAGGGTTATTGAAAGTATTGATATGTTGGTGTACCTTTTTTTTTTTTTTTTGGCAAATGCAATGTGTTGATGCGTTGATGTTTATTGCGAACTCTGAATACCATCTGGTGTAGGAAAGTGTTAGACAAATAAGCTTGTCTAAGATCTGCTAGTAGATCATGATGGGAAATAAATAGATTTAAGCTACAATCCTATCCATGTTAGAGTCCTACAACTCCCAGCATTCCCCAGCCAGCATGGATTGGAAAGGATCCTTGAGATGATCTTGTCTAACCTCTCTGCTCACTATAGTATCCCTGACAGATGCCTGTCCAGCAGGGACCCTACAAGAGTTATGTTATGTTAGTCGTGAAGTCGTGTCACACCCATCACCATCCTATGGACAACATTCCTCCAGGCACCCTATAAGAGACCATAGTACAATTGACAGTCTGAAATTTTTGCAGATATCTGGGTACCCAGTAATTCCTCCGGCCACATCCTGCGCACTGCTGAAATCCCCAATGACTGTTTTAGATGCAACTCAGTAGTTTCCCCCAAAAGAGTTTTTGCTGATGCATTAATTCAGGACGTGGAAGCAATTGACAGACACTGTTTAGATTGTCCCTTGAGTTTCGGGCTTCTATTGCTGCTTGCAGAGCGTGGGCAGTATCCAGTGTTAATTCCTATGTTGAGTTGACCCAGTGACATGAGTAAGTTTTAAGCCAGTCACAACAACGCCACGCTCCGTTTATTTAACTGGGCAGGAGCACCGGCTGCTGTCCCCTGTTCTTCTGGCTCTCAATCCCACCATGGTGTGGCTACCAGAATTGAAACAAAAGCATTAGAATTAGCCATTGCCAGTTCGGTATTTCACACCAGCGACCCAGTATGATAAACCAGAACAGATTCGTGTTTAAATTGCGCATAGGAGATCTGCAAATTTTATAGACGGATACAGCTGTTTTAAACCTCGCGTATTCCCGCTGGTCCCCAACATGCGCTCTCAGGCGAGAGCCCGACTACCACAAAAAGAAGCGCGCGCAACTGCCCTCGGCCAATAGAAGCGCGCTACCTGCCGCACGCCCCTCAAGACTCCATTTCCCAAAATGCCTCGTGGCGCGCCTGCGCCCTGAGGCTCAACGGACTATATAAGGACTCAAAGCCGAGGCATGCGTTCTTTTCCTTGCTGCTTCCGAGGAGGTGAGTGTGAGCGTGGGGTGCCAGCGATCCGCTGCCATCTGCTGTGTTCCGCGTTCTTTATATTTTTCCTGTTTGCTTCGGCTTCCTCTCGGACCCCCCTTTTCTTCCTTCGCCATATATTGGCAGTATTTCTCTCTTTCCTCGGCTGGAAAAACGGTGGGCACCGCAGATTGACTGCTTCTGCGGGTATAGCGAAGCCTCGTGGAACTCCCGCGGGGCCAGTTTCCCACGCTCAAGCTGCCCTTCACATCCCAGTTGCCCTCTCTCCAAGCCCCCCAGCCTCTCTCGTGGAACTGCCTGGCAGCTACCCATCTGCTGCTCTCTTTCTCTCCTTGCAGTCTTTTTGATTGCAGTTTAACTGGTGTACATGATGACTTGTACATTTTTTCCCCATCAGAGCGGAAGTGTTGATCTCTATGCTATTAGCCAGAATTTGTCTGATGCACCGCGAGAGGAGAGCGTGGGCAGGAGGAGCAGCGTTGGAAGGGATGGTTTAACTGAGAGGCCTGCACTGAGCCGTGGGTTGGACTCGCTGGCCTTCTGGCCCCTTCCAACTCTTGTTATTCTGATTCTGTGACATGCACAGGGTTGTGACCAGCCTTGTTTCGAGTGGGCCTGCTAGATTAATGATGATTAGGGTTGGTGTTCTTTTTTGATCTCCCGTGTTTTGCATTGGCAATTGCAAAGAGTAAGGTTGGCTTTCTTTTACATTTAGGTTCATGTGTACAAGCATGGATGAAGTGAGCTGTTGCAAAACTATCCAGGCAGCAGGAGATGGAGTAACTTGAAAAACTGAGGGAATTGCTGTCTGCACACCAGGAGGCTCCCAAAAGAGCCCATGTGAGTTTCTGCTCTTCTGTTGACTAAATCTCTCCCCTGAAGATCAGCACATCATGCAATACCCTGAGAGCACAATCCCATGCATGTTCGAACAGAAAAAGGCGTACAACACCTAGCATTCCCAGTTATACGTGTACTTTTTCTGCCTAAACATGCATAGGACTGCACTTGTAGAGGGTTAAAGGTCTGAACAGTCAACACATATGCAGAGACACAAAGGCAAACGTGTCTAATGCAAACATCAGTTAAGTTAGTTTCTCTTTAGAAATGGTGTTATAAATCTTACACAGTGTCAAGGAATATTTCTTAAAGCTTTGAACTTGCTTACAGGTTCTCAGCTTGTGCTACAAATAGATTTTGTATTTCCTTCACATTTGTTCTTCTAAAGATTGCTGTGTCAGAAGCAGCTTTCGGGGAAATCCCGGATTAAACAGTACTACCTAGGCTTACATTTGTTATAAAGGGCAAGTGGAAGGTGTGAAGAGAGGCTGTAGCGATTTCAGTTGTCTGTATGATTCTTGGGCATGCAGAAGAATAACTGTTGACCTGAACCACAATTTCATCTCTCTATCAGACCTTATTCAGCCTGGGAAGCTTTGGGCTATTGGGGGCCGGGGCAGCTATAATGTCTGAATAGGGCTTCAGTGAAACATTCACAGTGATATAGATAGATACTGACAGCCTTCTGAACATACTTCCAAAAAGTTTCTGGCTATTTTGTGTTATAGCCAAATGTCAGATTCATTTTGGTGCTGGAATCTCATGCTGCGCTAATGCTTTATAACAGGCTTAACAGTTGGAACCGATTATCCCAAAATGCAGTTCATCCAGGATGCTAAAACCTAATTGTAATTCTCTCTTCCCTGATCTTTCAAGCAGCAATTTCAGTGATGAGGCAAGGCGGAGATGTTGCCTAGGCCTGTGAATCACACCACTGAGCAGATGGTCACGGAGCGGCTCAAACAGAGTCCTTTCCTATTTCAGTGAAAGCAGCTGGCACGAGCAGCCTCTTGTCCCTGTTTTGTAGATGAAGCATTAGCAACATCCGACACTGCTTGGTTTCATTCACAGTAGCATTACAACAGCTGAACAATTGCCCACATTATGCATTTCTTATGGATCATATTCCGGTTAACATCTGTACTTCAGGGTGCTGGAATTTCCATATGTGTTTCCAGGGTCAGTGTTACAGATGACCTTATCATCATTTGTGTTTAAACTGTGTGTGTCTAGATAAAAGCTAGAGTAAGTAAGAGAAGAAAATCCTTAAATGGGGTAATTGGAGACAGTGTTGTAATTTGCAGGTACCTTGCGGGTGATGGGAGTGTGTCTAAAGCTGATGTATATGATGACCAAACTTTTTTCCCCATCAGAGCGATACTGTTGATCTTTTTGCTGCTTTAGCCAGATCTTGTCTGATACATCAGCATAGCTGATAGTTTCTACCGCAGGTGGTCTGGGTAGGAATGATACAACTCCTTTGTCTTCTATATCGTTTCAGGATTTGAGTTCAGCAAAGATGTCGGATCCTTGAGAAGGACTGGAGAAAAGATGGAAGGCTTGAGGTAAACTTTGGAAGAACTGAGCCACATAGATTGGGCATAGTTAAGAGGTAAGCAAGGATGTGAGGATTACTTTTAGCTGGTTCTGATTAATTTAGAAGAGTAATCCCAATGGCCTTTCCCCCCTACAAGAGTCATATAAGCATGCAAGCTTGCTGAATGAGACCAAAGCTCTCTTCAGTTCAGCATTTTCCCAGTGGCTGGTCTGTCTCCCTGGGAAGCACACAAGCAGAATAGGGATGCAGCAACCCCCTCTCTCTCCTGTTCACCTGCAACCAGCATGCAAAGGTGATGGCCATGATGATAAATGGTGATGAGTCTTTGGAAGAGGGAGCAGCTGCCATGTCCAATCCAGGGATTCCTGATGTATGTCCTGCCTCTGCCAGGGACTCTCACCTTGTGTAGTGGGCAGATAGTGAATCAGAATCGACTGGTAGTGTTTGTGGCAGATTGGCAAGAGCTTCAAATATTGTACTAGCAAAAACTAACAACTTTCCACAGAATTAGAATGTTGAAAAATAATGGAATCGGGGGGGGTGGAACCAGGAGTGGATGTTCATGTGACAGGGCTTGTGATCATTGTTCTGGTTCTGATCACTAATTTCTGGACTGAGCATTTGCTCAGGGGTGCTATGTGCAAATCTGCCTGCCTGAGCCACCATTTTGCACTTGCCTCTGGCTGGTTAACTTAGGATTCCACAAGCCTGAAATTTGGCTACCCTTGCACTAGGCAGCTGAGTCTGCACTATTCACATCTTCAGCTCTAACTTCATGCACTATTCTCAACTTCATAGTGTTGTACAAGCCATTCTAGTTACAGTTAGACATTAAAGTGTTTGTGAAAGCCAAATGAATGGTAGATGCTGCATTCAGGAGACAAACACAAAGCCATAAACCCCTACCTTAACATGTTCCACTATTCTGTGTTTTTAGAATGCGGCACGATTTCGTTCAGATAGATGTTCTGTGAAAGAATGACGGGACCTGGCCATTCCTTAAAGTTCTCCTCTGCCAAGTTTGTTTGGGAGTCTTCAGGGGCTTACCAGGTAAAATCAAATCCTCACTTTGATTGGAGAGGCAAGGCACATTATTCAGTGGTACATGATGACTTAATCTTTTTTCCCCATCATATCGGCCATGCTGATCAAACCTGTATTCTAGCCAAATGGTCTGATTCCACTGAAGTGCCTGAATCTCAAAATGGCAGGCTTCTCGGGGGTTTTGAAGGCAGAAGTCCAGCATGGATCTTGTGTTTAAACAACAAAAGTAGCTTTCTGGCTTTCATGGGATATTGGAAGCTTGGCTGGGAGCAGAAGTTGCATTCCCCTTGTCAGACTGTTGTCCTGCTGAATCACTAATCATTCCTATAGGAGGGATCTCACTGACTAGCACAGTATACAAATTTGTTGGTTCATAGTATTTATATTTGTTCAGCAATCCATGTGATCATAGTTGGATAGACGGGAGGAATCATTTTCTGTGCCTGTGAATAAACAGGAGCAGCTTCTACAAGTTATCCCCTTTGTTGAGAGATGTACAAGAGGAACATACTGTTTTTGGAAGAGATTAAAGAACAGATCTGCATTATTGCCAATTTAACTACTGTTAGATTTTTAGTTGCAAAATCTAATTACCTATTGGAAAATTTAACTGTGAAAGAACAAGGTTTGCATTATTATACTGGCAGATGAAAAAAGTCCTATGCATGGACTACCTTTCTTCATGTCCTGCAAATGTTATATGTTCTTTGGTGGGGAGATAGGCAAGTCTGTTCCCCAAGTATTAAGGAACTCTTTCAGCCAGTCTGGATTTACAACTGAAGTTGTGGGTTTGTTAGAACTTCCCAAGCTAGCCTGTTTAATGCTACTGCCTGCAGTGGACCGATTGCTAAATTTCATTGGTTTCTTTCAACAGATTCAAGAATTCTATTTGTTGCCTGGCTTGACACTCAAGACATTCACAAGAACAGCCAAGACCTTGAAGACACTTGAATTCATTAATATTGATGCACAATAAATAATGATTTGAACCACAGCAAACTGATCAATTTTTAAGTGTCTTTAAGAGTTGTACAGGCTGAATGTCCCTTCTCCCTTCCCAAGGGACAGTCCTCATACAGCAGAAGCAAAGGGGCTCAAGACCAGATGTCTCCCCATAGCAATGGCATAGCAAGGGAGAGGCTGCAGGTAGGAAAGGAACTGCTTTGGTGTATCTAACATCCCACATTCGTAGCATCTCCAGATAAGCCTTGGTACTGGGGCTAGCAAGCTATATAAATTTCACCCTCTGCCTACCAGGCAACCATGGCTCCATGCATCAAAAATGTTAGAACTCACAATAAAATCGGGAAAGCACAAAAGCGAGGATACAGTACAAACTGGGAACTGCATGCATTGCAGTTAAAATAGAAGAGCAGCAAAGCATTTTGCAGTGCTAAAAGCTTGGTGGAGTTGAACCATCTCCACTGGCCCACTAAAGCAAAATTCGGGAAGGAGCCAATTTTGCTTCCCTAAGGAAAGGATTCCACAATTCAGTTCTAGTTAGAACTCCTCCCTTGAGTATCCATCCCACTTGTTCCTGAGGCCGGGTCTTTGAGCATAGATCTGAACTGCACAACTCAGGGGTCCAATTCCATTTCAGAGAAGTTCTGTGGGAGGTTTATGTACAGTAATTTGGGGAGGGGGGCAAAGGCAAAAGGGCATTAAACCGGAGGGCTGGATTTAGCCCCTGGATTTACGATTTGTTATCTGTTCTAGGTGGCAGGACAGGTAGCATGCTATGACATTGTAACTGAGTTGGTCTGTTAGGTATCTTGGACAATTTTGTAGGTCAAAGTCAGCCCTTTGAATTGAGCTTGGAATCAAGAAGTGGTGAGATTGATGCACAGGGTGGGCCACAAATCCCGTCCCTGCCCAAAGGCTACTCCCACACCAATTCCTATTTGTGGTGCCTTCCCAACATTTTTCCTGGGAAGCCCCTCGTTCAGCACATACCCAAATGAAAGGTGATGGAGGAAGGAATCCTTAGACACTGCTTCTGCAAGAAGGGCTGCAGCTGGTGCATGAAGCAAAGCTAGGCAAAGGTGGTCCTGGCTGGTGCTGCCATCTGCCCTTCAGGAGCAGCACCGCAGGGTTTGTGCTGGCTATTAAAGATTCCCATAAGCTGCAGGACTAAGTCTGCAATGAGCCAGATGGACAGTGCTCATCACCCCATGAGCAGTCTAGATGATTTTCTGCCTTGAAGTACCTTTCATTTCATTCCTTCGAACCTGACATGGATTGGTGAACCTGAGCCAGATCCGATATGTGACCGAAGGAAGGGCCAGAGCTGCTTATGTCAAAGGATTCCAGATGGTTGGTCTTCCACATACACCTCGGGTGATGCATGTCTGATCATTTTTGTCCTGTGTTTCAGAGGCTTGGCTGGTTTGCACAATCCCTGAAAAAAATCCCCCCCTCACAGGTGTGTCGGCCCTACAGGAAGCAATGGGTTGTGGGGTGGTCTGGAAGAAATGGGCAGTGAGCTTTAACTGGCCATTTAAATGCAGTTTAAATGGTCTAGGCTTGCCTTGCTGGTGTTCTTGCTTAAGTGACAATAGTAGCTCTTGGGCTTGATGTCATTCCTGGGAAGTGGGAGACGCCGCCTCTCAGCTGCCGGTGAATCCCCTGGCTGTTCGCAAAAGTCAGAGTGTGCCTTGTTTCGTTGCGATCTCAGGGCTACTACTTGTTGGACCCACATGTCATATGTAAGACCGTGCAGCTGAAAGCAGAGGAACGTGTTGCTCCTTGGAGCTGCCCTGGTGTGTGATGAACCTGCCCCCCTCTACTCATAGAGTAACAAGGGTTTGCGTCTGCCTTGGTAGGGGAAGGTGGCAATGAGTATAATGGGCCAGCAGGGACCAGTCTTGCCAGATGTTCAGCAATTGGTTGACAGGTGTATGTCCTGCCCCACTGGGGTAAACATCCTGGGAGCTTAATTGTCTGTCTGATGCTAGCTGATAAAGCCCGGATGGGGCACTAGCTTTTTTTCACTGCCTGCCATAGTTAATGCAGCCAAAGTGGATGACAGAGACAGCAGCTGTGTGTTAACCTGGGTGCATGAAGAGGCAACTCTACTTAGACAAGTACCATAAGTGGCGTCTCCTGCATGTATCTGTTCCCCAGAACAATTCTTTTTGAAAACTTTCCTCATCCAACTCTCAATTTGTTTTTGTGTTTTTAAGAAGTTACGTATTTTAGAGATTTAGATACAGTCATTTGATTGCAAGATCATCCAGGTGCCTTTCAAAATAAGAGAACAATGCAAAAGAAAGTGCCACTCGGCTACCTGAAGCCTCAGGCCTGCCTTCACTGTGCCATGAAGCTCTTCCTTGGTGGAGGTGCAGCTCCCATGTCCCAGTGGCACAGCTCCCCTTGGCCAAGGCTTCTTTTCAGCCCTGCTCCAAGGAACGTTTTGAGGGAACACACATGCCCTTGTGGAGTGGTTTTTGTTTTTACTGTAAACCCCCTGAGCAAAATCCCAACTGACTGTTCCTGCATCCTTCTAGAGCTGAAATGGAGAAAAAGTTATCTTTGCACATAATCCACCCCTCACCTCTGTAAGCAACATTCCTGGAAGAAATGGAGTTGCTGTTCTAAAGGCCATTCCTGATACAGAATTCTAACTCAGACTGCACAAGGCTAGCATCTCCAAAGTGGTACCCACAGTAACCTTTCCTAGTGCCTGCCAGGATCCCTGTCCTCGTTTTTAATTAAGTGTTTAGATACGTGCTACCTGGCGGTTCAGAATGCTGCAAAGCAAAGGTTTATCTCCAGCATTCTCTTTCTGCTCTTGGTTGGTTTGGTGCTCAGACACCATCTCCCTTGGCTGCTTAGATTCTTGGGCAGACTACTTTTTTTCCCCAGCCCCTCCATGGATAGCTGCTGCCTCCATGAATCTGTCCAATCTCTTTTAAAGCCATCCAAGCTGGTGGCCATCAGCACTGCCTGTCTAAGAAAGTAAGAAAAGCCACTGGTATGCTTTTCTACGGCAGCCTTGCCTGAGCTGATGGTCCCCAAATGCATTGAACTACAAGTCCTGTTGTCCTCATGGCCAATGGCACTGCTGGCTGAGGACTGCAAGAACTCAGTTAACACATTTGCAGAGCACCAGGGTGGAAGCACAGTAGAAAGCATAAGCAAACAGCCAACAAGTAGAAGAAAACTGTATGCCCTCAAAGCCCTGGACAGGCTTTAAAGGGCAGCTCTGTTAATTTGGTGCCTGCTAGTGAAGGCAAGATGAATATGCCTTGATATGGTTATTCTTTGGGGTAATTACATTTGAGGATAATGCTGCCATATTTAACCCCTCCTCCCCACAGTCTATTTGTTTATGTAGTACTTTTTCCTGTGGCAATATGCAGTAGGGCATCAAAAGCATGGAAATCTGGCTCACTAAAGCTCTTTCCAATTAACTAGGGTAATGATTTTTCTCTCAATAGCATCTGTAATCTGAATAACACCTTCCATATGAATATATCAAGCTTCCCAATTTAATAAGACATTTACCAGCAGCATTCTGTTCTCTGGGAAGGAGTGAATTCTGCAAAATAGCCTCCCTGACTCTGGCCAAGCTACAGTAGCAGAGGGTCAGTGTAATTATAGGCGGGGATCATTGGTTGTGGCAGTTGCAACTTCTTATTTGTGGCCATGCATAAGTAAGAGACTGAATATTAGCTTCTGTTAAATTAAAGATAACAGAAACTCTCTCTGATGCATTTAATTCTGCAGGATCCTTCTGCTTCAAGGCTGAATTTTTGCATGCTTGGGTACAGTCTTTAAAGAGCAAGCTAGTTGTGACATTAATTGCAAGAACACAATTAATGCGAGCAGTTACATAAAAATAAACTATGGAGTGCCAGAGCAGCCTCGGAAAAGCTTCCTTTTCTGCCTTGGTAATTGCCCCTTAAAAGCTGCTGCTGGAACTGCAAAGGAAGCTTTCCCTGAAATTCAAATAGCTGCTTTCAGCTGGTGATTTTTGTCCAGATGGTGGAGAAGGAAAGAAAGAGAGAAATTCCTCTTGCCATGTCCCACAGTCCTTTCTTGCTCTAGCATTCTCTCAGCTGCTGTTGACACAGTGACAATGCACAGTAAATGTATTTGTGCAACGAACAGAGTCTTATTTGGCCCTTGGCATATTTTGGCCTACAATTCCCATAATCCTTCGCGTTGGCTATGTAGGCTAAGGCTTTTGGGATTTGCAGGGCCAAACAGCTGGAGGGCCACAAGTTGCCTATTGTTATGTGCCACTGAGTTGTTTCTGACCTATGATGATCCTATGCACTGGTGCCCCTGTCCTTCACAGCCCTGCTCAGACTGTGGTTGCCACCCCAGGTTTAATAGGCACTTCAAACAGCTCCGGGGCCCACCGTGGCAACGAATGCAGCTGCACGATATCTGGGTTGACCACCCAACTGCCCTCAGAGTGGGGCTGATTGACCCTTCGGCAGCTGACTTTCCCACACCATCTTGCACATTAGCCCCAGTTACCGCAGTCCAGCTGGCCTGTCTCTAGGGCATGAATATCTGAGGCAAGATCAGCTTTCTTCAGTTTTGGCTGGGTCAGACAAAAGGCTCAGTAGCTTGGCTCTGGGAGTGAAGGAGACTCGTTCCTTACCATCCCAGTTTTATGGTGGAATTGGGGTTGACTAAGGAGGTGTACCAAAGCCAGGCTTCCAACAGACAATGTAAGATAACTTGCTAGAACCAGGAGGAAACTCAAGCTTTCAGATTGTTTGGGAGAACTTGATGTTTCAGAGGCTTTGAGTTATGTAAAGGTGATAGGATGGCAATCTAGTTGGGGGTAAGGATGGATCAGGACTGGATGGACAGGACTTCTGGCTGGCTAGTGTTAAGGTTACCGGATAAATTGTGGGTCAGGCAAGTATTTGCATTTCCCCAGAGGTTCCACTGTTTGTACACTCAGAGGACAGCAACTCCTAATACTTCACTGCGGAAGAGAGGATACATTGGTCACCAAATTTACTTGCATCAGGT